GGTGGAGGGAGGTGGAGGACTCGGAGCTGCCCTGAGCCACAGCTTCTCAATGCCTCCCACCCCACTCAGTCCATATTTAGGGACTCATTTCCCATACAAATTAAAATAGTCCTTCTCTGAGAGCCAAGGCCCTGAGAGCAGACACAGGAACAGGGAGAGGACTGGCCCTAGAAAACACAAATGCCACCACTGGCTTCTGCCAAGGCCCCACCCAGGCCCAGCTGCCAAGAAATATCCTGGGCTGTCACTCTTGATGCCTAGGGCTGACCTTGAGTGTGGTCCCAAACCTCTTAGAGCCTCCGTTTCCTCACCTTTCTTCCCCATAGCCAGAGCCTTCTCTTCCAGGAATCCTTCCAATGTCACCTCCTCTCAGAAGCCCTCCCTGACTACCCTGTCTAAAGAGGGCCTCAAGGGTCCCCCATTTTCTCTCTACCCTTTGTTTTTCTTCCTTTATATGCATACTTTGTTTACTGAGGTATTCTTTACATGCAGTAAAGTGGACCAACATCAAGAGTCCAGCTCAGTGAGGTTTTGTTGCTGTTCTTTTTATTACCAGTTCAATGAATTTTGACAATTGCACGCACCCCTGGAACCCACACCCCAATCAAGACAGAAAATATTTCCAGCTCTCTGGAAAGCTTCCCCCCCAAACCCTTTTTACCTCCCTCCTGTGTAGCACTTGCTCACAACCTACAATTAACTTGTCCCTTTTGATAACCCTAATCTCACACACACGCGCGCGCACACACAGGCACACACACACAGATTGCATTTCAACGTGCCTGGCTCTGTTCTGAGCCCTTTTTAATATTAGGGGGAAGGGACTTCATTATCACCATTCTTTAGATGAGAAATTGAGGCACAGAGAGGAAAAGTAACTGGTCCCAGACCACACAGCTGTTTCCCCAGCCAGGTGGCCACCCTCATCAGACTGTGGGCCCAGAAGGGCGTCCAGAAAGGCCAGTGAGCCTGGTCACCACTGGGTCCCAGGATTGGGGTGTAGGGCCTGGCACAGAGCACAGGCTCAGATAAATATTTATATATTTAATAACCAAATCTATAAATGGGTGGTGACAATAAGAAGCCTTCACAATGCATCACGAGGACAGAGTAAGATTAAATTGAGGAGGACCCAGGAAGGCTCAACAAATGAGAGACAAGACAAGCTGGCCAAACTTGTTCCCACTGTACCTCACCCACCTTCTCTGGTGAACCAGACTTTATCTCCTCTTCTAAGGAGCCCATCCTGACTGCTCCAGTCCACAAGGCCATTGCTACAAGTTGGCTTCACTCATGTTAGCACATGAGTCCACAATGCCCTTCATAAGCAGTGCTCCCCAGCAAAAGCCCCATCTTCCTAGGCATGGGCATGGGCGCAGGGCTAGGAGACAGGAGGCCAAGGTTCTCCCCTTCTCAGTATGAACTTGGGCCAGTCTTTTGCTTCTCTGGGCCTCTGTCTCCCCAATGTTAAGCTGCTAGATTAGGGGGAAGGGAACAAAAAGGGGGACCTCTGGTCAGGGGCTCCTTGCAAGGTACCTACTGTAGCCCCACTCCCATATCCCTGCCCTCATGGAGTAGCACCAGGGTCTCCACAGACCCCATATCCAAATGCATGAACCCACAGGGGGCCACCTGACATCTTGGTCCCTGGTCACAGCTTGGAAGAAAAGAAGATGAGGCAGCCTTCTGCCAACCCAACAGACCCCACCCTTCTTTCATTCCCCTCCTACATCCCCTAGGCTTCCCCAGGGGTCCACCGAAGCTGGAGGGTCTGTGATGGCTCCTGGGCAGCTCCACAGCTCCAGCTGGCACCCAACAAGAACCCCCCCACACACAACTGAGAGGTGGAACCCCAGCTTTCTCCTGGGGGAGGGGGCTCCTGGCTGTACTTGAGGTGCGGGCCCCAGGGAAGTGAGCAGAGTGTGGGATGTGAGGCGACATCTCCTTGAACAGAGGGCACTGCTCTAGCCTCAGGCTTTGATCGGTGGTTTCCACCTCCCTTCTCTCCTCACTCTCCTTTGCCAAATTCCCTTACCTGCCCCCAGAGCCCGCAGCTGGATGGCTGAGTCCCCTACCAACCCCACCGGACCATGGACCCCAGCAAAGGTTGAGGGCAGAGGGGCCCACGGCCCTGCAGCATCACCAGGTGGAACGGGGGCCTCAGAAATGGCCACGTCTCCTCACTACTTCCCGTAGTGTCCCTTCCCACCCAAGGACAGTGGTTGCTGTGGGTGGAGGGGCTGGGCAAACAGCAGCAGCATTTGACTATTTGAAAAACAATTTGCTATTTACAAAACACCCTCTTCCTCTACATCTCATGGGAATGCGGGGTGCCACCCTGTGAGGCAAGCAGGGCGGGGACCATCAGCCTCAATTTACAGATTGAGGAAAGAGAGGCTCAGGATGATGAAGTCACTGCCCCGGGGCCATCTGGCTGGACGATGGCAGGGCTAGAGGGACCCAGACAGCCCCGACCGAGGTGAAATGACAGGAGGGGGTGACCCCAACTTACAGAGGTACTGGCCAAAACTACAGCTTGCAAGACTCGGGGAAACTTGTTCTGAAATAAATGTGAGCACAGGAGCAGGGGTGTGTGTGCAATGGGAACATGGGTACATGCAGGTATAGGGGTGCATGCATGGGTGTGTATGGGTGTAGGGAATGTGGGGGATGTGCGTGTGTGGGCCATGGGTATGCACGTGTCCCCAGCCTCTGAGATGCTGACGTTGGATCCCCAGAGAGTGGAACCCATCCATCTGTCCATTTTCTCATCCAATATTTTCTACTTCTCTGAAGTGCCTAGCAGAGAACTGGGCACAAACAGGTGCCCAAGAAAGACTGGGGTGTTGCTGTCACAACTCAGCCTGACAGCTGTGCCCAAGCAGGTGACCAAGCCCAGCCCCCTCTGCTCAAACCTCCTATCCCACTGAGACCCCATCTCTGTTGCCCAGAACCATAAAAGCACTCCATCTGCCTTCCTAGAGCATCAGAGCTGGGGTGTCTACAGCCATTCTGGAAAGACACAGCCTTGGGACCAGCCCCCAGCAGCCTTCTCCAGCCACCTCCCAACCCAGGAAGGACCCCCAACCAGGCCCACGTACCCACCCACATATTCAATGTCCACAGCCAGCTCGCTCAGGGCTCTTCTCAGCTAAAAGTGTTCACAGTATCTCCATCTGTGTCACACACACAGGAGGCCCAAGGCCACCAGCCTGGATAAGCAGCTTCCTCCCCGCAACCTCCACACCCCCAGCCACTTAACCTGCAGCTCTCGCTCAGCCACCCCGTGGCCCCTGCCGGAACACCCACTCCTTCCGGGGGAAGAGAGCTGGCCTGCAATTTCTCCATCAGTGAGCACTGGCAAATAAAGAAACATGAATGCTGGGTTTCACGACAACCCACAGCCTGAGAGCCATCATCCCGACAACAGAGGGAGCCTTCCAGAGGCCAGGGGTCCAGTCCCCTCACTGCCCCGTGGGCCACAACAA